CAAGCCAGTTGCAAAAAAGGGTTTAGGGTTTGGGAGCCAAGGAAATCCCCGCCCCCTTGCAAGGAAGGCATCTGTGGGTAAATCATCACTATCAAGCCATGTTCCAGTTGACAGTACATAGAGCGAGAGAGAGAGAGAGAGAGAGAGAGATAGATAGATCGGTTCATGTATATTTATATACATGTCGTTGCAAATATGCATGTTGATTCTTGCCTTACAGGAGAGCTCCGGCCTCTGGTGCTGGCCTGGAATCTGTTTAGAGTCGGCTGTGGGGCTTGCAGTCGTTCCAGATCGCTTGGTTTGAAGTTATGGTACCTTGTTGAGATTCCTGTAGTGCACTGTCACACGCTCACACTCCGACAGACACGCACTACCACTCTAACTCCTCGCTGTCAGTCGCATCGCGACTGTCACGCTTTGCGTAACGCCCACTGTCACCATCTCACCCTCACCTGCAGTCGTGCAAGCGCACGCACATGCAGATGCACACGCATGTGCTCTCTCTCTCTCTCTCTCGCTCTCCCTCCGTTCTTTGCCTCCTGAGGCCGAGCGAGATTGGGCGAGACGCACCCGGAGACCCTCACATCGATGAACAACTTGGCTACGGTGCTGCAGGCAACAAGGGCCGCAACGGGGGGTTAAGGGGGTTTCTCGAAGGGCATGGGTTTGCACGGAAAGGCCAGCTGTTCGCCAGGCCGGAACAGCTGTACATCCTGGCCTTTTCGTGGTCATCGGACGCAAACTGAAAAGAAGTGCAAGTGCCAGGACCAGGGACGCAATGAGGAGGCCGAAGCACTCCACCGCCAAGCGCTGGAGGGTCGCCACGGCCTCAAACAGCAAGAGGAAAGGTTTGGGGTTCAGGTTTGCATCAAATCCCTTCCCCGAGGCCATTAAGCCCTGGGCCCTTGGAGCCCAAACCCCTCACCTTGGGCATCGTTCGAGTCGCGAGAGTCCAAACCGTAAGGTTGCGGGCCTACACGGCCCACCGCATTCGAAGGCTCAAAGGTCATTGCAAGTTTAGGTTTCAGGCTATGCGAGTTGCGCCCAGCAGAGTTTGCCAACACACAGCCGGTGCTGCTTTCGAGCATCGCGAGATGTGCGGTGTTTACCTGACATGGCTGCGAAGCGGTGCAGACTATGTATCCGTGTACATGGTGTCCGGTAATCAACACGAAGTGTTGGGCAGTGTTGACCGGTGCCGCGTCGTGTCACAGCATATTGAGTTTTACGCTGTAGCTGGTGTTTGAATGTGCAATGATGTGGAATGTATGCGGAGCGTTTTGTCACAGCGCTGCTGTGCTACGTGCACGGCATGTAAAGGTTGTGTACTACTCTGCCAATAGCATGGTTTCGTGCTGCTAGCTTCGTGCTTAAGCTGGTTCTGATAGTTCTTGGAGGTGCCGTATGCCGCAACACATGGCGATGATGCACGTTGCCACCTCGTTTCATTCGTGTGCATGCATTGCTTCAGTGAGGTAAGTTCATCGAACTGGGATCAATGCTACTGTATTTGCAGTTCCACATATCATGTTCCATGCCATGCGAGTGCCAGGCGTCATGCTTAATGCTTGATGCTCGTAAACATTAGTCGGTGCTGTCCTGTATCATGTTGTGAGTGCTCATAGTGATGAAATTTTCACGGCATGCATCTATGCATGATTTCATGTTGAAAGATGGGTGCTGCTACTCCCCAATCCGAACATCACAGCCGCTTATAAATGCATAACGTATTCGTTTCGTCCTCAAACACTTCGCGGTGATGGATTTCTCGTGACATGCAGCCAGTCCTTCCAGCCACCACATTTCCAAGCTCAATGGCTATCAGTCTTTTGCAACAGCGCACGAGGCCGGGCGAAGCTGGGAGAAACGCACCCAGACACGCTGGCATCGATGCAGAATCTGTCTTCGATTCTGCAGGCAGCTCGAGCTTGCCGGATGGAGAGAAGTGCAGGGGAACCCAAACTTGCAGGAGAAGGGAAGCTACGAGGAGGCCGAGCAACTACTCCGCCAGACTGTGAAGGCCCGCCGCCACCTCAGCCAGCCTACACCGAGGTTCTCGCATGTGCTGCCCAGGTTGTTCTGTGTGGTGACGTGGTACAGGGTACAGTAGCTGCAGGATAGCTTACTGTTTGCAGCGAGTCACGGCGGCATCGTGTCATGCGGCACGGAACGAGAGAGTGTAGTGCAGTGAAGAACATCGTGCTGTATACGCTGTCGTGGCTGCCATGTTTGGTACATGATTGTCTATGTTGGATGTGTCTGGAGCACGCAGGCTGAATTCCGCTGGGTAGACACGCAATTTTTCTCATGTTCAATGATGCCTAGTGTGATGAGGTTTTTTGACAGGCGTGTGCCTCCCTTCCTATCCCATCCTCCTTCCCTCCCTGCCCACCCACCCACCCACCCACCCACCCTCCCTCCCTCCCTCCCTCCCTCCCTCCCTCACTTTCCCTCCCTCTCCCTCCCTCTCCCTCCGCTCCCTCCCGCCTGCCCACCCGCTCGCTCGCCGGCTCGTCGCATTGCAGGTTGTACTGCTGCAGCTGTTTGTCATGTCTTCTGTACCGGCCGTGCTCTGCTGCTAGCCTGTTTATGAAGCTATGTTCGTTTTGTTGAGTTCTTGTACTGCTTGCTGTTCACGTGTCGTGATTGAGTCTCTGGTGGGACTGATGATGTTTGGCGGGGGAATGCGAGTCTGATTGGCCAGTGGAATCTCCAGTCATTATTTCTTTCTTATGAGTGATTACTGCTATTATTATCATTGTTATTGAATATTCTGATCTCGGCCTCCGAGAACACCTCCGAGGCCGGTCGAAGTTGGGCGAGACTCATGAAGACACGCTGATGTCGATGCACAGCTTGGCCATCGTGCTGGAGGCACAAAGTGCTTTCGCCCCGAGCGCTTGAGTCCCCCTTCTTAGCATCTTCTTAGCTATAGCCAGGTATGCGACGAGCCAACCACAATTCTGAAAGCTAAGCCCTTTCAACTCGAAAACTAGAGCACCAGCGGCTTCACAAGCGGCAAGGACCAAGAACGCTACGAGGAGGCCGTGGCATTCCTCCGACAGACGCTGGAGGGCCGCCGCCGCCTCAGTCTGCAGGGGGGGTTGGAGTGGGGTGGGCGCGGCGCGCTGAGCCTTTGGGGTTTTGGCGTTTCAGGGTTTGGCTGCTTTAGAGACGTGACGGGCTGGCGGCACTGACGGGGAGATGACCAATCAAAAGACTACAGCAACATCGCCTCAAATCGACATTCCAATGTCTCGTGCATGCTTTCTTTGGTGGAAGTGCACACCGCAGACAAGAACTGCAGAATGTGCTGCGACAACATGTCAAGGTAATGGGCTGCTATTTCCTCACATTACTTTCAGTGCTGGTGCGATGTGCGGAGTTGCCACCTCTCAGCTTGAGACAGTGCTGCGAATCCGTTTCAGACAGTGCTGCGAATCCGTTTCGGCATGTTGTCGGGCTGGTTGGAAAGGTCAATCCGTTCTGCTGTCGCCCGTTGCGGTGTTCCATGATGAGCACACGTGACAGAGTTCATGCTGCTACAGTGTTGACGTTGGGCTTAGTCTCTGCCTTTCTCGAGCTCGGCACTGATCTTGTTGTAATTTGTTGATGTTGATCTTAGCCCTCCATGTTGCCGTTAGTTTGTGCGCATGCACGTGTGCTCGGCTGAGCTTGTTCATGCAGTTAGTCTGGAGTTCTTCTCTCCATCTCGAATGTCAAAGATCTTGAATCTACAATTTTCCCGGAGACATATTTGTAGGTGTATGTATGAATATGTAAAGCCGTCCCTCTAACATATATGTACACACACACACACACACACACACACATATATATATATATATACATGCACCTAATTACGTACACACACACACACGCACGCGCGCACACACACACACACCTTTCAAGAAACAAGCTTTTGGACTTTCTGTTGAGGACCAGTGTTTGAGCCAACCTCCAGCGACAGAGCCGTCCGGTCTTCATCTGAGACCTCGAACTCTACGCAACACCCATGGGGTTTCCGAAAACAAGGGACCCTAATATAGCACCTGAAATAGTCGGATCCTGATTATAAGGATCCTAAAAAGGTGACCTTATTTTCGGAAACTCCCCCCATGAAGACCCAAAGCCGAAGAGGCTCTCCGCTTTCTGCTTTCCTTGCTTTGCAGCTCCCCAAAAACCCTAAACCCTAAACCCTAAACCTTACTAAACCCTAAGCCCCCAAGAAGGCCGGGCCGAATTGGGCGAGACACATTCCGAGACGCTGACGTCGATGGACAAGTTGGCTTCGGTGCTGCAGGCTCCCCCCCTGGCCCTCTTTAGCAACGCAGGGCTTGGGGAGGGTTTCGGTTCAGGACCCTCGTGTTCAGGGATTTAGGTCTGAGTTTGGCGGCGCTACTTCCCAGATGCAATAATCTGGAAGTGCTGCTTCCCAGCTGATTGCCAGAGTCTGGGTTCAAAAAACCCTAAACCCTAAACCCTAAACCCAAAAGGGTTTATAGGGGTCCTGGGCTGCTCTTCCAGTCCCCTTGACCTCCGGCTTGAGAGGCGCGGGGAAGCTTGGAGGAGGCAGAGAAGTTCTGCCGCGAAGCCTTGACGTCCCGCCCCTTGGGTTTAGGGTTTAGGGTTTAGGGTTTAGGGTTTAGGGTTTAGGGTTTAGGGCCTTGCCTCAGTTGGGGGGAACATGGACCATGCTTTCTTTGCTGTCCCTGCAGAGATGAAGCTTTAAAGCGCGCAATCTGTAGGAGGGCTTTGAGGCAGAATCAGCTGCAGCCGCCCATTGTTGCAAGTAATATAGGGGGCCTAAATAATTAGAACAGGGTTTCCCTTGTTCCTTTTTGAAACTATAGTATCATATACCGCAAACCCTATTCTGATGATTAAGGCCCCTTTTTTTAACAGTGGGTTTTCTCAGGACGGGCCAAGCTTGGCGAGGCTCATGCAGACACGTTGACGAACATCTTCGACCTGGCCTCCTTGCTGGTGAAGAAGGAGGACTTTGTCAATAATTAGAAGAGGGTCTTGGGGCCCATTATACTGTAATTATAAAAAGGAACCCTATAATAATATAGGTAATTATTAAGGCCACTATATTACCAGGGTGTAGAGTGGAGTAGAGTAGAGGTGCTTTGAAGCCCAAACAGGCGCCTTTTTGCGCCTGCAACCCATTTGGAGTAGAGGTACTTTCAGAAGGCGCTATAAACACCATCTGGGGTTTTGGAATCCCTACAGTATACTGGACAAGCAAGAGGAATGGGAGGAGGCAGAAGAGCTCTTCCGCGAAGAGCTCGAGAAGTGTGGCCTGGCATACATTTGTCCACCTTAAACAACATAGACCTGCCTTTTTGGTAGGGTCCCTGCAAGTTCTGTATCAGGGCTTATAATCTTCCTACGAAAACGTAGCTTATGGTCGTGACAGTAGATACCTTTACGTCTCTGCCTCTATCTCTGTCTCGATTTCCGTCTATCTCAATGTCGACCCATACCTCTGCATCTGTCTCGGTGTGACCATCTATCGATCCATCTCTCTTTCTCTCGATCTTTCTGTGTCTATATGTAGTCTCTGTCTGTACCTCTATCTCTTGGCATATGCCTCGATGTATATACACACACACTAGGCAAGAATCATCATCGCGCAGGCACGCGCCCCATGTGCATATGTGTTGCGCTCCATCCAAACTGTTCGTGTTTCCTAAACCCTAAACCCGAAACGCCCGAAACCCCGTCAGCGGGTGGGCAAAACCCCGAAACCCTAAAAACAACCCATGCCTCGCCTGGATTGTGCGAGTGTGAGCGTCGAAACCCCAAGCCGCTTTTGCTTGTCACCTTCGGCACTCAACTTGCACCCCTAAACCCTAAACCCTAAACCCTAAACCAACTTGCAGGTCGGTCCGCCCATGGCAGCGAGCATGAGGAAACCCTGAGCTCCGAGGAGAAGTTCGCCGAGTTCTTGAAGGACTTGGTAAGTTGAGCCCGAGGGTTTTGCGAGTAATCCAGAAGTTTTAAGGTTGAGGATTCCAGATGACTTCAGGTTCAGGGTCAAAGAGGTTTACTGCAAAAGGGTTTGGAACTCATGGCGCGCGTGGAAAACTGCAAACGGGCGGCATCCTTCAAAGATGCGGGGACCTGACCGCTGTCAGTATATTGGTCTTAACCACAAGATCGAGGCATACACGCGTTGGGGCACAATCATTCGAATTCCTCAATGCCTCAAACTCAACAAGCTCAACACCCCAAACCCCGAAATCCTAAACCCTAAACCCGAGTGTGAGTGTCAAACCCTAAACCCACATAGGCCCTCAAGCCCAGGCAGACCTTAAACGGGCATTCAGCTCATGGCCCCCAGCTCGTCAAGAGGAGCGAGGGCGCTTGGCGGAGGCAGAGAAGCTCTTGCGCAGAGTGTTGGAGTCGAGTGCTTGCCTCAGACAGCTTTGGTTGAGGGGTTTGGGGCTTGGGCTTCAAGTTTTCGAGGGTCAGGCATTTAGGGGTTGGTTTGTAGGCTGTGGGGCGCATGATCGCTTTCGACGTTGGAATTTACAGTAGATTGCAGACTGAGTGGGTTCGGGGGGTGAACCAATCTGCAGACTCGGCAGTCTCTGTCTCAGAAACGGTCGCGGCGTGAGTCAAAGTTCACCAAGCATCGACACGTTCGTTCACTCCGTCTCCCGCTCCTGCTTGCGAGGACGGGCCAAGCTTGGCAACTCCCACCCGGACACGATGAGGAGCATGTACGAACTGGGCGCCCTGTTGGCAGACAAAGAGGACTGGGAGGAGGCAGAGCAGCTCTTCCGCGAAGAGCTGGAGAAATGTAGCTTGGCTTCGTGCATGCACTTCACGTTTGTTTTCATTCCTTCTTTAAACCTTGGTGTCGGAGGGTTGGCTTCCATCCCTTCGTTGGTTGCTCTTTTTTTTTGCCGGGGGAACCTTCATCCAAAAACATACAAAACTCTGCACGCTAAATCCTCGGCCCTCGATCCTAAAGCCTTGAAGCCCTAGTTTGATAGGCACCAACATGAAGACTTGCCCTTGAATCAGGTTTATAGGGGCCGAAATAATTACCAATACTATTTTGGAGGTTCCTTATGATGACTTTAGTATAATTTACACCAAAACCATAGTCTAATTATGAAGGCCCCTATAACACCTGTGCTAGACCCGGGAAAAACGACGCTGGGCCTTCCAGGTCGGAGCGTCCACGGCGCCGAACATGAGGAAACGATCGATTCCACCGAGAGGTTCGCTGAATTCCTGCAGGACATGGCCTCCTAAACCCCACCTTCATCCACCACCTATACATCCCATATTAGGGCTCATAATAAGAACCTACAAAAAAGTGGGTTTCGGTAGGTCAAGGTAAACTTTAGACCCCAAAGCCCCAAAGCTTAAAGTGGGAGGCATCCTGCAGCGAATCTTGCGTTGGATGTGGGGCTCCTTTGTGAAGGGTGTCGTCTAATGAGCATCCCACCATGAAAGGGGTGTTTGTGAGGAGTGGCTCTTTGCAGGTATGTATCATGAGCCATGCCCCAAGGCCTAGCTAGACCCTGAATTGTGGCAACTTCGTTCTTGGATAGCCTGGTTCAGGGATAGGACCCTGCAGCCGGAAAAAAAGGTGACCAAACAAGGTAGTACAATGCAATTGGAGTCAGCTTTCGCTGCATGAGCGAAAATCCAAGTGCTGAATACAATGGCATGGGGTCTTATAATCCCGAGCTCAATTCTGAAGGTCGTTGTTGTACCGATGCTTATGCTGAGTCTGTTTCGGTACCGAAGCTCGGGCTCTTGCAACTCTACTGCGCGGGTTGAGGAGTCAAAACCTACAGCCATCCTACACCCGTGAGCCCTGAACCATGCTAAACTGCAGTTTCTCTGCAGTGCGACCTAGTCAGCGAAGCGGGCGGGAACACAAAAAAAGAACCGTCCTAAGCTCTGAACCTGGACCCAAACCCATAAAGTCCCAAACTCTCATAAACCCTGACCCCGTCTCCCGGCCCTAAACCCTAAACCCTAAACCCTAAACCCTAAACCCTGAACCCTAAACCCTAAACCCTAAACCCTGAACCCTAAACCCCAAACCCTAAACCCTGAACCCTAAACCCCAAGAGAGAAGCTCCGTCTTGCGAAGGACCGGGGGCGGCAGGCCGAGGCCTTGGAGCTCTCAAAAAGCCGCGGATGAATCGCTGGAGGCAAGGAGGGGAGTTCTGGAGTCTTCTTAGTGTCATAGGGAGACTTCTCTCTCGATCTATCTAGCTATCTATCTACTTATAGACCTACCTATTTATCTATGTATCTATCTATGTATCTATCTATCTATCTATCTACCTGCCTATCTATACATGTATTCCGAGGGTCGGAATACTCAGTGACATTCTCGCGTTACAGCCCCACCATGGCCGCACTGTAAAATACATCTCTTGCGGATGGAGTCGGGCCCCACCAGTCCAGGTACCTCCAGCTTAGGGCTGAGGGTTTAGGGGGTTTCGATTGCACCAGTCCTGATGCAAAAAAGGGCTTAGGGCTAAGGGTTTAGGGTTTAGGGTTTAGGGCTTAGGGCTAAGGGTTTACGGTTTATAAGGTTATGTCCTCTCACAGGGTGTACCAAAACCCAGGCAAGCTTTCCGCTTAACCTTTCGGGGGACAGTTTGAAGACATGCCAGGTCTGGCTCATGGCACACCCCCCTCAGCCCTACACCCTTAAACCCCAAACTCCAAACCCTCAAAACCCCAAACCCACAAAACCCCCGAAGCTCTAAAGCTAAAGCCCCTAAGCCCTAAGCCCTGAAAGCGCTAACCCGCCTGACTCAAAACCGACCCCGAACTGCAGCCGCGAGCCTTCAAAACCAATTCGCCGTGAGCTTGTGAACTTCACCTCGACCGCTTTCAAAGGCCCGGCATTTGCTATGGGGTTTGCTGGGTTTGGGTTTAGGGTTAAGGGTTCAGGGGGTTTACTGGGTTTGGGTCTGGGGTTTAGGGTTACTGCCCTTTGTTGCCTGGAAGATTTTCAGGGGTGTGGGTGTTCTTCATTCTGTCTGAGAGGTGATCTTGGGAGCTCAGCGTATTGAAAGGTAGCGGTATCAGAGCTTAGCGGCCCCCCTGGGCCTTAAGTTTTAGGGTTGAGGCTGTCGGAGATAGGATTTCGGGAAGCGCCCAGCTTGGCCCTGATTGTTAAGATACAACCCAGTCGAGCTAAACGCTTCCACCACTGGAGTGCGGCGGATGATACCGGTTTGCTGTTGTTTCCTTGTCTCGGCCAGTCCTTGACTTCGCGCAGATATCCACACATATATTTGTGCGTGCAAAGGAATTGAGATTCAACATGTTAGGTGTGTTTCGATTCCAGGACTTGTTCATGCCATTCCAAGATCCCACGTTTTCTGGCCAAATGCGAAGCAGTGCAACCATTGCCAAGGCAGCTTTGAATGTGAGCGGCCCAGGTGATCTTGTTTCAGTAAGCCCCACAAGCCCAAGACCCCCAAAACCTAAGACCCCCCCCCACACATTCACAAGCCTGATGCCTAACCCTAAACCCTAAACCCTCAACCCTCAACCCTCAACCCTCAACCCTCAACTCAAAGCCGAGCGAAGCCCAGGCAATGCGGACCCTCGCTCTCCTTGTGGCTTGCGCCATGACCGCCAGTCACGGGGCTCGGCCCAGTGCCGCCGGCCCAGAGGATGACTACGCCTGGTTCAGGGCCGTCTAAGGGTTAGGGTTTGTTTTGACGGCACTTCAAATCTTGGGGCTTAGGGTTTGGGAATTTCGCGAGTTGTTTGTAGAGGCGTTGGTTCTTATAGATCGTCAGGATATAGGGTATCTTGTATGGGGTTCCGGGTTTACAGTCTTACAGCCTTACAGGCTTCCAGCGTTCGTCGATGTAGCCCCTTGATTGAAGAGCACCCTCTTTCTTGGAGGGTTTTACAAGATGAAGGGCAGGGGGAGTATTAACCCGGGATCTCCATTGTGGAGCTGCGCAAGACTCCTGGCAAATGCCGTGTCCAGGCCTACTAATTAGGGTGCTGCATTCACGGTCTGCGCTGAAGAAGCTCCGGGACATCCTAGACTCCAAATTCCCAGCTACCTGAACTCCAAGCCGCCCCCCCCCACGCCCGAGGCCGAACATGGACACCTCAGCTTTGAGCCAGAGCCAAAAGGGCTGCATGTGAAGTGCAGCCAGAAGATGAGTGGCTTCGGCTTGATGTGTGGATCGAGGCGTTAAGGGGACTTCAGCGAAGAGTTCGGTGGTCAAGGCATGTTTGGCTTAGAGGACCGTCTGTTCTGAATTTGGGTCCTTTTGCGGTCCCAATTTCGAGTGACGTAGTTTTTTCGACCACATGCTGGTTCGGACGAGTGGTGTGCACCCGGCACGGACACAGGCCAATCTCCAGCTGGCAGCAGCATGTTGGTACGACGTTGGTACTACTCAACTTGAAACGGGAACTAAAGCAACGCTCTGCCGCATCCAGCAATGCTGTGGCATCGTATTGTGCAGCGCTGCTGAGGATTTCCTCAGGCATCAAAGATGCAGACAACCTGAATCACCAAAGCCGTCAACCCCGTGCCCTAACGCCCTAAGCCCCAATGACAAGCCGTAAGTTCTCGTATAAACCTCAGGACCCCCGATAAACCCGAGCGAAACTCCCGTTCTATTTCTCCGCCGAGTTGGTGGCGAATGTGGCGCGGGGATGGAATGCTGGGGAAACGGCAAGGACGGGATGGGAGGGAAATTGAAATCAGAGGTGTTGCTCGCTAGTAATTAGTAAGCGGCTCAACCATAGTCCGGTTGGGGAGATCGGGGAGGGCCGGGGACGGGGGTGGTGTTCTATGAGGTTCAGATGGCTCGGTCAGCTTGGGTTGGGCCAGGTGCGTTTGGGCGCTCCCAAATTGGAGGTGTCCAGTTCACCGATGCGGTGCACCGGCACAAATCCAGGAATTAAGTTCAGAGGCCTGCTGAAAGGAGGACTGATGCCCACCCCAACATGCAGATCTTGAACTTGAAGCGTTGCAACCGAAACGAGATGGTGTCTCCGAAGTTGAAGCCCCGCCTGCCAGGGCGAGAACACGTGCTGCTTCCCGTCCGGGAGGAAACCAAACGACTTCCGAGCGGAAGGCCAAGTTAGCCTGGGCAACAAAGCGTGCTGCAGCGGGCAATGGGCCCCTTGGAGTTCTTTTTGGCAGAGACCCTCCCCCAGACACAATTGTTGGCGATTTGATGTGCATGGGGTGGGTGTAGGGTTTAGTTTAGGGAGTCTGACCTCGCAGGTTGCAGTTCTCACATCTTTCGATTCCTTTAGTTGCCGTGACGTGGGGAGAGTTTGTGTTGGTGTCGAAACCTGCCAAGATGGACTCGTCGGGGATGGGGCTGCATCCGGTCATCGGCACCTGCGGCTAGAAGGCAATCTGAGCGCCGGCACATGCACCGTTCCCGACTCGTGCACGACCGGTGAGAGCGAAAGGAAAAAGTGACGACTTCGTGCGGGGTTCTAAGTTTAGAGTTTAGGTCGCTGGCACACAATCCAAGCCCATGCTGAAAAAGAGTTTAGGTCTCAGGGGTTATGGACAGAGAGAGGGAGGGATTTCTTGAAGGGATTTCTTGAGTGGATGCTGCAAATATTGAGCTGGTTGCAGCTGCGGCAATGCTTGGCACGATTCACTAGATGTGAGCCGACGACTACAGAGGTTAGAAAGCTTAGTTCTCACATTCCTTTGTTAGTCCATATATTTTAAATTACGACATCCTGACACCTTTTCCTGAAATAGAGGCCCCTACGTTGCAGGCGCAATGACTTCAACGGACGTCTCTGGACTACTTCGGTCAGACACCCAGCTTGTCGAAACTCTCCTGGCTCCTGGTAGTGGGGTTGGAGGTTTGGGTGAGTGCGGTTGAAAGCATCAAACACCACATGTGCCAAGAACAACGGTGACGCTTTGGTTCCATTGACTTTGGGACTTAGGCTTACAATGCTATTTTGGGGGTTCAATGTTATAACTATAGTAGAATTAAGGCCCCTACATTAACTCCGAAGCATCTATGCACTCTTTGCGCACCCGGCTCCGGTGCCCCTGCGCTGATGCGTGAAACCCCGAAGCTGCAGGGCTCATGCCCGTGTCCAATCTGGGGCCCGATGTCAGGTTTTCTTTGACAATGCCGTGCCGAAACGACATAACATGCACTCACGCATTGATGCACGCTGATTTTTTTCTACATCTCTCGGACCTAGGATTTGTCTCCAGTGTCTGGGGAGTCATTGAAACCGGTGCTGAGAAGAAGACGCAGTAGACTGCCCGGCCGACAATTGGTTTTGCAGCATGTTCTATAAAGCGCGTATGCACCCGAGTGACTTCGGTTTCAGCACAATGCCTTCCGTACCCGTGCAGGCAAAGCTAACACTACACGCCGTTATACGCTTTGAGGTCTCGGGTGGAAGGGTGGAGGGTCTTTAAGCCCTGCAAGACCCCCACAGGCAGTAATTCCGATGACGGAGCAACAGAAGTTGCTGAGCAAAGCGAGAGCAGCTACAACAAGAGCGACTGTCCATTACAAATGTCTCAAAGATTTTGGAATTGCGTCACAGGTTGCACTACAGGTGTTGCCGGGTGCTGTCTCTCTCTCTCTCTCTTTCTCTCTCTGCCTGTCTCGTCCCTGTCTTCCTCCAACGTACCTCTGTTACTTGGATGCATAGCCGCCCGAGCCACGAAGCCCTTAAACCCCTGTACCCCAAACCTCATACGCGCGTTGAAATCCCAACCATAGAGTTTATGGAGACCCTACCAAAACTGAGTACGTGGTAGGTGAACTCTAAACCCTAAACCCTAAACCCTAAACCCTGAAGGATAGCTTCAAGCCTGGAGCACCAGAGACCCTGAGGCTGGGCACGAGAGGGGCATCGGCTCCTTCGGCAGGTGCGATTTGGGGGTTTCCGAAAATAGGGGACCCTAATATAGTACCCTAAATAGTAGGATCCCTATTCTTAATTATAAGGACCCCAAAACAAGGTACCCCTAATTTTCGGAGACTCCCATTTGGGGGTATTAAGAGGTTTCATGTCTCAATCGCCTCTGTTATTTTCTGGTCTGAGGCTAAGGTCTGCAAGGTGTATGTTGATTTTGGTTGCAGCCCTACATATGTCGGGGGTTTATAGGGTTAAAGGCCGACGATGGTTCAAGAGTTATAGCGGTCCGCCACGATTACCACGCCCACGTTCACTCCCAGGAGCAGAAGAGGATTCAACTTGCAGCGGGCAGCAGCAGGCGAGGCAGCAACGGGCCCAACGTGCAGTTTGCAGCGGCGCAGCTCGCAAAGCCGTTTCACACATCAAGGCGCTGGCGCTGGCTGGCCCAAGAGCAAACAAGGAACCAAGCGACCGCCCTCATCATTGAACGCACAATCCGCAGCAACGCCGCTCGCAAGGTGCCTCCACACACCAAGGCACTGGGAGGAACGAAGGAGGATTCAACATGAAAGCGCTGGCCGAGGAGGAAGCGAGGAAGCAACACCCAAACCTCTTTGGTTGCTCAGGCTTGTGTGAAGCTTCGCCTTGCCTGCCGCGTCCCCTCTGCGAGAGTCGAAACCTCAAATTTGAATCTCAAACCCTAAACCCTAAACCCTAAACCCTAAACCCTAAACCCTAAACCATGAGTCCCCAAAGCCCCAAAGCAATTTTGAGCGAGGCGAACAGGTAGCTCTGCGAACTGCGGGCTGCGACCGCTTAGGCATCGTGTTGAAGGCATGCTTGGGTGTGGAGCCGGGAGGGGTTGAGGGTCCGAGAGTGTCCGAGGTTTTTGGGGTTAATAGTTCGAGGAGTTTAAAGTTTAGGCTTTGGGCTTGAGGAGTTTGGTGTTTGTGGTGAGAGGTTCAAGGTTTTAGGGCTGGACGCTCGGACATTCAGGCGATTGCACAAGTCCTGATGCAAAAAGGTCTGGACGAGTTTGGGCTGAGTTTGGGTTTGGGGTTCGGGATGATAAGTTTCAAGGTCTGGTCGGGCATTTGCGTACTTCGGTGCAGCGGTTTTGTGGGGTCTGCCTATTTTTCTGCTCAGCACTCAACTTCGAAGCTTCTTGTGGTCCTTGCGTGTCAACACGACCGATACCCCCGAAGCAGAAGCTGGAAGCAACTTTGGCCGGCACTTTCGGAGGTGTTCGGCAGCGGACGGGCCAAGACACCGGCGAAGTAGTGCCGCTCGAAAGGAAGCTTCATGCGAGGCGGCTGTGTGGGAAAAGCGATAGCCGGACAGCTGCATTTTCGGCTAACTTGTCTCCAACTGTATGGGGACTTTCCAGGCCGATAGCCATGCGGGCTCAGAATGAGCCTTGCAAGATTTTTTAGATGATAGAACGGCATGTTTTCCACGTCCAGTGGTGCGAGGGTCCAAGACCGCACGCCTTCAGACGAAAAGATGAGCGCTGGAGTTGAGGGTCGTGTCATACGAAGTACGAAAGATGCTGTCGCTGTTCTTTCGAAAGACTCAGTCTAGGTAGGGGGTGGGCTGGTGAGGCTTCGAGATGACCCTGAACCATCGACGTCCTGAAGTTCAAACCACAAAATCCCTCGTCGCTTCCGTGCTTCAAGGCCCAGACCGGGATGTCATGATGTGGAACTTCAGAACCTACACGCTGGTTTAGGGCTTGTGTGGTAGGTACATGGACTTACGTGGACTATAGTGTAGTAGATGACGTAGTATGTGGAAGATGACACACAGGTGGCTTCTAACTGACAGGGCCCGAGTGAGGCAGGGGCAAAGTCTGTCGCCATGACGGAGCCGCGGCCGCTAGCAGAGGTGCAAGCAAGAGCACGTTTTTCTCCGGAGGAACTGCAATCGGCTGCGTTGTGTGAAGGTTCTGGGAGGTGTATGTGTCGTCGCCTACTGATGAAAGAAGGAGGTTGATGAGGAGCAGCAGGAGTGAATGCTTACAGAGCTGCAATGCAAGCTCGGCATGCCTTTTGCTGCGCCGTGTGCAGGTCACGGCACATCTGGAGGACGCGTTTGTTCATCACCGCAAAAGTCACGCTGTAGGCCTTGAAGCCTAAACCACGTTGAGCCATAAAGCCTGTTCGGGTTCAGGGTTTACGCTTACGCATCTTGACAGAGACGGTTTAAGAATTTGGGGTTGAGGCTGCATAAAGTGCGACTCTACTAAACCCTGAGCTCCGTACTAACCCATGCGAAGCAGGAGCCTCAGTATGCCTTCTCCCTGAACCTCTTTGCCGAGGCTCGACTTGGCTTGCGGGTTGTCCTTCAAGCATCGAATCGTTGAATCTCAGCCTCGGCCCCCTGAACCCTAAACCCCTATAGCCGACCTGAACTGCTAGGTGGAAAAAGGTGCTTAAAAAAAAAAACCTATAACCCCAAAGCCCAATTGTGCTTAAACCAGTGCTTCTGCCCCAATTCTGAAGTGGAGGGGACAGAGGACCGCGGTAGTCTCTGATCCTGGAGAAGTTGTGGGCTCGGGTTACGGCTTTCTCAACCCTAAACCCTAAACCCTAAACCCTAAACCCTAAACTTTAGGCTTTTGGGATTGGGGGTGTCGGCGAAAAGGGGGGGGGGGCGGAGGCTTCGGGGTCGGGGTTTCGAGTCTCAGGTTTCGGGTTTCGGGTTTAGGTTTTCGGGTT